GGGGGTGGGGTGGGTGGGTGTAAAATCATTAAACCAAGACAGAAAAGCAATGATTAACACACATTAAAATGTCATCATTATTATCACCCACCTACTAAAGATGGGGGAAAAAGATCTTTTTGATCCATAAAAACCCACAAGTATTTGGGAAGTAAAGGTCTTATTTCACTGTCAGGAAAAGGTCTAATTCAACCTAACGCCCAGTAACTCAGGCCAAGATGATGCTCTGAAATCACCAAATTCTGGGAGCATAGTGAACTTAATCCCAAGCATCAGCAGATGTTCTAATATGTAACACCACTGCTAAGACGCTATTTTGTTTGAACTTTAAGCTGTCCAAATATTACCCTCTTTTTGAGTATCACTCAAGAATGTTAGAGCTTTGGTCAACTTCAGAGGGAAGCTAGAAATTGAATTTCGGGCCACTGGCCCCCCTGTGCCTTCTAATTTTATGGGGCCCAGGTTTTTCATAATCAATGTTTTGCAAGTGCACAACAGGGAGAGGACTGACAGCACCATATGGATACCCACAAGTGTCAGATTCAGTTCCTGTGGCACTAAAAAGATTTTTATTTTCCAGATCCCTTAATTTAATAATTAAATGAAAAAAATACAGTTAAATTATCTTTTGTTTGCTTTTTTTCCTTAGCTTGTCCTGTTATTTCATGAGAAGGTCTCATTTTCCCAAACATCGCTGCTAGAAAGTAAACAGCTCAATAACCCAGCTCCACCTGGTGGAGGCTAAAACCAGACAAATTTAAATTGAGCATCTCCAAGAAGGGACATCAAAACTGTAAAAGAACAACCCGGGTAAAAATCAAAGCAGACCATCCCATTAGGCAGCAGCTTTCTCCTCAAAAACCTGTAGACTTCCATCACTGCACAAGTGTACATAGAGTCAAGAATAAAATGGATCCAATGTCTTTCCACATTTTTTAAACCAACTCTTCTATCCTTCAGACATATATAGAAGCAGTGTTAATTATTTACCTGGATAATATCTGAGAGCTTATGCAATCCAGATGTATTGACAAATATCCCAGTACCTAGACAGAATAACGCATGATTACTTTTACAACACAAATATACATCCATTTGTATACATCCATATCTTATCCAAACAGCACACCGCTCTGAATACAATGACTTGAAAATATTATCTGAAACAAGTAAGTTATTTCAAGTTTTCCATCATTATTCAAGATGCAAGGAGAAATGTAAAACTGGCATTCCAAAACAAGTTTCATGTCTCTGACGCACTGGGAAGCTGTCATCTGAGACAGTTACATAAACTTCTTAAGGCTCCTCCACATTATAAATTGGAAAGGAGGTAATTAAAACAAAGATAAGCATGCTTAAACTGCTTGGTTACTTTTTCAAAAACTCACACAACTAATATTAGTCTCATGACAAAAAGAATAGAAAACAAACTACCCCGTTATGCAGAGAGACAAAATTAACCTTTGCTATAGCTATAAATAGCCCTTTACAATCACCTCCAAGCTTCTGGTATGCCTAAAACAGTGACTACAGAGGAGCAGTTAAAAGAACGTATGAAATACACTGACGATGAGAATTTGACCACAGAAACGATAAACAGATGCACCTGTTAAGCCAGAGCGCAAACAGCCTAAAAGGAGAAAGATGCTGGGGGAAAAAAAGGAAGGATAGATGTGTTCTGAAAGGATGCACTTGCAGAACCGTCAGTCTGCATTCTAGTCTCCATGGAGTGGGCTTGCTCTCTTCAATGCTTTTACTGAAGGGTCTGCTAGTAAGAACTAACTAAATCATTTTCTTAGGACATGTAGAAGTTGGAGATTTTTCTTTGCAGAAGGGCAAATTAAGAACAAGATGCTGATAGACAGTAGAAGAGAAGCTTGCTAAATTAAGGAAAAAACCCCACATTATGCAATTCCCAACATTCCTGTCTCATAACTCCAAGACCAGGAAAGAACTCAAGCCACTATAAGTGCCATCAGCAAAATGTCAACAAGCTCCACCCCACAATCCTTCTGGTTTTGGAGAAAAATAGTGTTGTGTCCAAAAGTCATTTTACCTATGCGCACGTATGCACGCACATATGTTGGTACGCACTCAGGTTTTGACACAAAGAGGTTCTTAAAACTAGTTCTGTTGCATAAACAGACATAAAACGTGTTTCCCAGCAGAGCACCTCGCAGCAAGTCTTAATAAAAAGACACAGGTACTCAGGGTCAGATTTTAGCTTTTAAAAGCTTTAATATTTAAATCTAAACAAAGAAGCCTTTCTCCTCCTCTCCACGAACTATGCAAACTTCCAGTTACTTACATTACAGAGAACAGTCTGAGTGAAACAACTAACAAATTTACACTTACGGCCTGAAAGAAACTGTAAAATCTGCTCTAGCGACTCCAAGAGTGAGGATTTGGTCTGGAATGTTATTTGAGCCTCTGCAAACAGATCAAAGATGTAGCTGCAATTTGCAAAGAAAAAGCACAAATGGGTAAACACTGTAAATAATCACATGGACACAATTACTGTTACTCTTTTATAACAACAATTTCACCATCTAGTAGCAAAAACATGTTCTCGTCTCCATGAGAAAGAAAAATTTACAGGAATAAAAATAAGTATTTGGTTATAAAGACAGCAGACAATATTGACATGACAGAAAGCATACTGACCTCATCCTTCACGTTTTCCATGATTTCTCTACAACATGCAATACGTATTAATTTAGAGACAGATTTGCATGCAATTTCCATGTTTTTTTTACAACGTACAATGTGCATGAGTTTAGAAATAGAGACTTACAGAGCTCTGAGGTACCTCAAACCAAATCACTGCAGCACTAGTACCTCTGTTTAAATCATGACGCAAAATTGAAAGAAGCACAGCGAGGAGCTTCTTCCAGTTCAGAATACCCGATAGGCATACAGACAGCACAGGATTTTCCACTCTTGAAACACTTTAAAAGGGAGTTCCACCAGAAATAACGATTACTACAGAAAGGGGATTTAAGGAAACCCAAAACCTTGAATAAATACTATTCCCAGAAATTAGACTAGTACTAGCAATCCTAACAGCTGACCCAGTTTCACCCAGGTCTAGAATTTGCTGCACTTTTAACATGTAAACATATTAATGAGAAGAAATTCACCTTCCCCCTTTGGTGACTCCACTGTCATTCGGTGGCAGCTCCACCGCATCAATAGCACTTTCTAGCTGAAGAAGTATTTCTTTAAGAGAACCAAGAGGGAAAAAAGTTAGGGTTCACAGAAACTCACGTCTGGGACACATTTAAGCCTCTTTTTCAAACGTACTTTATTACAAAGGCCGTTACCAAAGATGGCAACCTAGCTGTTTTCTTGATTCTGTAAACAAAATGATCAAAACCAATTTCCTAGATATCATCTCTAAATATTTGTATTCAACTTTAAGAACTTCTACGACCTCAGTTCTTAGATGAAGCTTAAGTTGTCAGCTAAATGTTAAACTCTTCTTTATAGATAGGGAAAGCTGTTCTTGGAAATGCTTTGCAAGCATGAGACATCTCAAGCTCTTGCTATTAACTTTATGTAGCCTCACGTTCTTACAGCAGAATGATGCAACTAATACAATTCCAGCACACTGACAAGATTAGAAAACAAGGGAACTTCTAGCAAGGGAAGCGATGCATTCATCTGCCAAATCTCTCATCTTCTTGGGAAAAAACTGTAACTGAACATTCCACAAAATTCTCTGAAAAAGAGACAACTTCCTTGAATTTCTCCGTTATGAGCAACGTCTACAGAAATGCCACATGAACCTGATTTATAGTTGTTGACCTTCTGAAACTGTTTCAACAACAATTTTCAGCAACACAAAAAATAACCTTACTCTTTATCTTTGCTATATCTTCCAGTTCCATGTTCAGTCCTGTTGAAGAAAGGAAAGATTTCAGAGAGGATGTTTCATGTCCGTTTCATTCCTAGTTTCTTTATGGCTTTTCAGAAATTATGGATATGAAGGCTAGAACTGTGTATATGGAAAGACATCTGTATTCCACTCACCGTTCTCTTTCATGACCCCTCATGTCACATTGGTTTGGCCAAATCTTTTCATGTTTGTCTGGCAGTGATTGCTAATTAACAGTAATTTATCTACTGATCAGAGTAAATTTTCCAGAAACTGTTAGGAGAAGTTATTTTCCAGTTCTCGGTAGTGGCACCCTATAATCCCAGCAAAACAGTGGTTTGTGGTTGTCAACACACCTGAATTGGCCAACTCCATATTGAATTCAGCATTTATTTCATTCTGTTGAACTACTTTGGCTTGTTCTTCCAGTACGACATTTATAGCATCCATTGCCGAAGCCAAATCGTAGGGTGTCAAGTCAAAGGAAGATGACTCCTCACACAACTTCTCCTAAAATATAAGGAAGGGAAGCATTATTTGGACTGCTCAGTGTGCTATTTGCTCGGGCAATTTCATAGATGATAAAGTCCAGATGACCGGGCTTGATTTCATTTCTGATCTCCAGCTCAGGCCAGAGGATGTTGTATAAACACCTGAAGACTTTGACTATTACTAGGCATCCTTTTTTCTGAAAGGGAGAACAGATTTTGCCTCTTCCACATTATTTACATTCTACCATTCCCATCTAGTAGCAAAGCACTGTCACCATTAAGATCCCTTTTGTTTTTAAACAGGTGTCACCTCCTCTGTGTTCTTAGTGTTGCTGCTAATAGGTTTTTCTTGACATCCTTTTGCTTCTCCCACGCAGTTGCCAAATAGCTTGCTGTCTGATGACAAATTGTCCAAGTAGCAAATTTTTTAGTTAGAGAACCAGTTTGTTCTTCGAAAGAGCTTCTTCCTGGTCCCTCTCACACTCTTAGGAAATATTCTTATCCCTATATTTGCTCATATGAAGACATGGTCCTTGCCCCTCGTGATCTTGCATTCAGGGGTGGGGGCATGGAGGAAAAAAGGGAAGGGGGCAATGAAAAAAAAAAAAAAAGGCAGTAAAATGCATATTATTCATATGTAAAATTTGGGCCAAAACGTATGCCAGAACAAATATTATTACAGAGAAGGAAACATACTAAATTTTTATTAAAAAAAAAAAGGTTTGAACACTCACCAAACTGATAAGTTTGACAAAATTCTCTATGACCTTGAAAAATAAGTCACATATTGTTTTGTCACAAATTTTTCATTCACAAAAAGAATCATCTTCCCTGAGGAATGAAAAGAAATAGTAAGGACTAACCTACACAAAAATTTGACTGCAATAGCAATGAAGAAATAAGTTCTAAAGAAAAAAAAATGTTGAACTAGCTGCATGTGTAAACAATCTAATGAGAAAGTCATCAATTTTATTTCAGAGTAATTACTAAGAAAAAAAGGTTGAACACTCACCAAACTGATAAGTTTGACAAAATTCTCTATGACCTTGAAAAATAAGTCAATATTGTTTTGTCACAAATTTTTCATTCACAAAAAGAATCATCTTCCCTGGGGAATGAAAAGAAATAGTAAGGACTAACCTACACAAAAATTTGACTGCAATAGCAATGAAGAAATAAGTTCTAAAGAAAAAAAAAGGTTGAACTAGCTG